AATGCGGTAGAAGAAGGATGATGTTAATGGCTTTACCCTTATTTCCCATATTGCGCCCCGCCCCTCTGCTCCAGGGGGGGGGGGGGGGGGGGGGGGGCGGGCACACAAAATTGAGTCCCTTTGGCCTAAGGAAGCACCAGACCAAATTTAGTCAAAATCAACTTGGCCGTTCAGGACTAGTAGCTTTTTAAAGGAAAAGTTGAGGGACGGACAACGGACACAACGGACGGACGATGGACGCTGCAGTATGGCATATTCACCATGGTCCTTCGGATCAGGTGAGCTGAAAACGGGAAAACACATTATTGGATTTTGAATACATCACAGGAAAAATATGTTGATTGCGTGATTGATTGGTGTAGCATCTCCGCTTCACTACCGAGTACTTTTATAGCTGTAGTACTATAGTATCACGTTAGCTGTATGTTCAATTAACGTCATTGTATCTGGAAAAACCAGCGCTAATCGTATAATTTCGGTGATTTTATTTTCGTACAGTGACAAATGTTGGCGCGCAAAAGAACGGCCTAATTTAAATAATTAGATTATCTACGTCACAATAATTTATTCTGACAGTTTTTATTTGATTTTATTTGAATACAAATCTAACGAATTTCGAAATTCGGGCTGAATATATCTGTAATAAAATGATATAACTGTTATCTGGGTAATTTCTTTCCTCATTTTCTGATATGAAATGTATCAAATGATGAATACTGCAAACGATGTGCACAAAGGGTAAAAGTTTGTGGAATAAGTTTATATACAGAGTTTATAGATCTTGAACTTCAGGTTAAAGTGGAAAGTTTGATTACCCGTTGTACCTAAATTGATATTGTGTTTTTGCAGGGATATGTTTACTACTACACATCCCTGGTTTTTGTCTACAAAACAAATAAACAATTATTAACTGAGATAGCTATAAGTACAGATACTTTTTTTTCACTACAGTATCATTGTAAAAGTGGTCTGTCTGTCCTTGCCAATGGAAAATCCAGACCGTGAGACCTTGACATTTCATGTACATATAACTCACATTATGTTTTCAGTTGAAAAACAAGGCTTTTACAATGTATATGCTACATGTATAGTACAATGGAGTCTTATACCTGCGAAATGGATGAGCCAAACTTGTAAAGCATGTTTGTTAAAATATTAACTCTGTATAACTCTACCATACTGCTTTTTTATTTATTTTAAAACAGATTTATATACAAAATTGTGTTAATTAGACGTCCTGTGGAATCCATGACTTTCAGTCAATATAACCACAATGACATAGACGTAAGGTCAATTTTATGACCATGGTGTATTTTCTTCACGATTCACGGAGTGTTTGTGTGTTGTGCATCGTGCTAAGGTGTGAATGGTAGTTGTCGCCCTTGTTCGGACTGTGACATTGTCAATCAATTTAAATTTCAATATTGATTATTAATCAATATAATTTATTAATAGGTTTGGAAACCAGTTTTTGAAATATTAACTTTTATCAGAGAACAAATTGCGACGAACCTTTAGGAGAAAACCATCTGAACAGAATCAAAAATGCTTTTTAGGATAGCTGCGATAACGTAGCTTTCTGACGACGAGATTTTTTATTTTTTTTATATATATATATTGCGGTCGGGGCAGAGGAGACAGTGTATTAATACTAGTAGAGGAGGCCGGGCATTAATATTAGTACTAGAGTTAGGACTGTATACATGGACTAGCCTAATGCGTTAGGTTTATCAATATGGTTTAGAGCTGATCAGTAGTCATATCTAGTTAAAACTCTGGTAGCAGGATGCTTCCGTGTGTTTGCATAACAATTGTAAATACGAAGGGAGACAGCTTAATACATGCACCTACCAACAATTTAACAAAATTGAAGATTTGCCAATGGAAAATCCTGTTCTCGCGACCTACTTTTCTGAGGATTTCCAAACACGATTTAAGTTGGAATTTTGCCTTACTATAAAGTTTCGCTTTCGATTTGTAACCATTCCGCGAACGAGTCCGTATTGATCAGAGTGTTTACAAGCTAAATAATTTAATATCATAGAGACCGTCAACCGTGAACAGTAGTTGCGTGAAACTATACATTAAGAATACACATAGATATACCCTCAGAGCGCCTTGTCTTAGGCTTTGGTGAACAATACATTGACATTTGACCCACAAGAGTATGACGTTTGGTGGCTATAAGCTGGGGGACGGTTGAGACTTATTTGATGTTACTTAACTTTGTACAACTCTCCAATATTGTATTATTATTTATATGAATTAAATATTTGTAATTAGGTTGGTTAGACAATCTGACTGTATCAACATTAGGTCCAGTGTATGACCATGGTGAGTTGTTTTCTTCATTATAGATTTATATTGGCTTGTACCATACGTTTCGTTCAGAAAGTTTGTGTGTTTTGTGTGTTGTGACTCGTGCTATTGTGTGTTGTGTGTTGTGACTCGTGCTATTGTGTGTTGTGTGTTGTGACTCGTGCTATTGTGTGTTGTGTGTTGTGACTCGTGCTATTGTGTGTTGTGTGTTGTGACTCGTGCTATTGTGTGTTGTGTGTTGTGACTCGTGCTATTGTGTGTTTTGTGTTGTGACTCGTGCTATTGTGTGTTGTTTGTTGTGACTCGTGCTATTGTGGTTATATATTGAAGCTATCTCTTTTTTTATTCTGTTATTACAGTTTCAATCCATTTGAATATCAAAATAAATTCTAAATATTTTGATCTTACTTTTAACCAGTTAAATTGCCACTCATAAAAAAGAAGTCCATTTGCCTGTTAAGTATTTGTCAATGTATTTGTTAAAACAGTAGCTGACATAGTGACAAGTAAGTTTAAAATGATAAACAGAATTAAACTTATTTCCTGATGCTAATGCCTGACTTAATGATGTCAATATTTTATTTACAAATATGCTGTACATGATATATAATTTTACATAATGCACGGTAATATTAGTGATCTGGCAACAAGAGTAGGCTCTTATATTAAGCCATCTCCCAGAACATTTTGGAAAAAAACCATTACGAATGCTGTGATATCATGAAGAATGTGCAAAACTTGAAAACCTGAACATATTGAACGGGCCGTTTGCGAGTAAGGATAATCTTAATCGCATATATAGTGCAATAGGGTTATCAATATGACTTGGAGCTGATCAATTATAATACCTAAAGACATTTCTGATAGAAGGACGCTTCAGTTTGTTTTCATAACAACGCAAAATACAAAGTGAGACAGCTTAATACATGCACTTACCAACCATCTAACAAAATTGAAGATTTGCCAATGGAAATCCCTGTTCTTGCGACCTAGTTTTCTCAGGATTTCTACCGATGTTAGTTGCAATTTGTAAAGAAGTCGATCGGGACCAAAGTTGGCTGTCTGGGCGTTCTAACAAAGAAAGGCTCTATTAAGCAGTCTTTTATGTTATTTTTTTTTTAATAAATGTTTAATGTACAAACGTCTGCATGTAGAAAAATACTGCCGGATTCTATATTTAGTATCTAGCGTCACCGTAACGCTGCTATTTTGTAAACACCAATGCGCAGCTCTAGCTGTGTTCTGTGAATGGGACAAATGATCAATAAGATGTTTAGTCTGTGACGTGGTCACAAACAGATTTACACTACCATATCATAAAGTATGGAATTGCCGTTTTTCCTCTGTAAGTTAATGTTAAGTCTACGGTGCTATTAACCTAAGTAATCTGTGGAAATAACAATTTGTAATTACGGGTTATATATTTACACTCAAACGGAGTATTGTAGAAATATGTCGTCTGTTTATCATCCGCTGTACTGTGAAATAGATTCAGGACGGGGCCCTTTGCAAGCAAATTGTAATCTGAAGCAACACATACTTTGTGTTTTATCATTATAATATTAACTTTAACTTTAAACTGAAGAGAAATGTTGGCATATTGTCATGATCGATTTTTTGATGATGATGATGATGATGATGATGATGATGATGCCTGTATTATGTGAAATTCGTTTAGTGTAAGGACGTCATTAACGTTATTACCTTTATAATAATGGCAGACACCACACTTGATCAAAATAAGCTAATGCCGCGCACCTTCTAGGACAAAACTTGTAAAAAGATCAGGCCATAGGTCAATCAGGCTAACAATTTTGGTAAATGTTACATTGTACAAATCTTTGATTTACACAACAAATTTAATGAAACAATGTAGCATATCAATATATAGGTCAAATCGATCATCAATATCGATGTATAAGGCTAAACTTGTCAAGTGGTAGCATTTAGGATCGCAGGTATTCTAGTCACGTGCAACAGGGTCCATATATCAAGCTGATCTTGTGTATATTTGTTCATGCATGCTTGTTAGCCTCAACGGAGCTCCGCCGACTCTCTGTCTGCATCGATTGCGTTTATAGAAGGGACCAACATAAGCCAATAAGTCAAACCTTATAAACCAATGCCGCGCACCTAGTATGACAACGCTTGCTATGATCAGGTCATAGGTCAATCAGACCAACAATATTGATAAATGGTACACATCTTTGATTTACACTTTTAACAAATTGAATGATAGCATGTCAATATATGTAGGTCAGCAGTGGTCATAATTCAAAGTGAACACCAATATTAATCGGGATAGCATACTAATCATAAGTCAATGGTCAATATATAGGTCACCAAACGACAAATCGGCCATCAACATCGATGTATATGGCTAAACCTGCCTGTCCTGCAAAGTGGTAGTATTTAGGATCTCAGGTATTCTAGTCATGTGAAACCTGTATATAAAGCTTAACTTTACAGTAGGCGTGTATGCATGTTGGTTACTGTAGCCCAAAAGGAGCGCCTCCGATTCTCTGTCTGCAAACGATCACGTTTATATATTTCGTGTCTACATTCTGTTTGTTGCAGGGACCACCTTCATATGTATCGGTATTGATGGTACAATTGACATATGACATCATAATAATTACTTTGTCAAAAGTTAAGGTCACGAAAAATCAACAACCAATACATATTCTGACGATATATTTATTTTTCAATCTTTTTTTTCAAAATACCAATTTTTCCCTGATCTTTCTGCATGTGTAATAATAACAGTACATCGATAATACAAAAACCAAAAGTCCGAAAGTAGACTGTTATTATGGTTCAAGTGTGACGAAAATGATAATGACTGCATGCGTTTTGTCCTTATTGTCCCCGGTGATGTTTTCCAGTGTTCTATTCGTCAGAATATTAGTCCAGAATAACAATTCTGACATTCTCTCTCACTTTTTTCCGTCTTTCTCCCACGTTCCAATGACTCTTTTGTTGTATTTTTTCCGAAGTTGAAAGTCCAATTTACTGAATAAATGTTGTTTTTTTCTTCTCATATTTTATGGGTCGTTTTTCCATGTTCGAAAATGTTTTCCCTTAATATCAAACCGAAACGTTAGCAATAGTTGCAAACATAGATTTTGGAATTCCATGAACTGAAATCAAACGTTCAAGTTACTTCATGTTGAGAATTTTAGAACACATTATTGACATTCTTGCACATTCCACTTCAGATGACACTCTTGAACATTCCACTTCAGCTGACACGCGTTAAAATCAGTTCTAAAACTGCAGCCCGAATCGACAACCCGTTGTACAGTTGTGAACTCGAGAAAAAAAGGGTTCTTGGTGAATCCATGCACTTGGCAATCCATTTTAACTGTAAACAAAACAACGAAATAAGTATCGGATGTGATAATGCAATTTAACATGATTAATATTTCTTTTAGAGCTACTTTCTCGTAATTCCCATTTTATTTTGAAAATGTTTGTAAATAATTGAGGATTCTCTAGTTGTCAATGAAAGTTGGTATGCAACCCCAATAATATCAACCCTATGGAACGTGACACCCTGAGAAGTGACTTCAACAATTCCAGACTATAAAGAATATAAGATATATATTTTACCACAACGGACGTCATATATTTGTGCTTTTTTAATATAACAATAGATATGGAATTTTCAATTGGTTTAATATCAGCCACTCAGATTCCAGGAATCTCGCGCACGGTAATTATACTTTTCATATTTCACTTTGATATATTTTTGCTTGGAATGACTTCACATTAATTGATGCCCTAAAACTCGCACTTTGACGTTATATTTTTTGCATCATTCTGAAGCGACCAGAAATTCAACATTTACGTCTAGCATTATTGCAAACATATTTTCCCCCAAACCTATGCGTGTACCATATGCGTGTAGGATTTAAAGAGTGTATCACTCCTGTGTGTTGAAGTCAGAGGAATCGCAAAGCTAACTTAGTAATAACTTCTTACTTTAAGTACCAGGCTTTTCCTGGCGCTAAATTTCAAAACTTTGATAAAGAGTGTTCACATTTCTCATTTTGAATAATTCATGAGATTGATTATTTTTTTCCCAAATTAATATGATTAAATGGTGAACCGAATACACTTCACCATCATCCTAAACGAATGAAACGTGTGACAAATTAAAAATGATGACGCTGTCTATGACCTTTTTGGAACATGTACACACACAAAAATGAAGAAATCCAAAAACATTTTAATAACCTGATAAAATCCTAAGTTAATTCTTACACTCGATTTAAGAAAAACATTGAGTGACAGTCATCAATTTTCATGTATATATTCTCAATGTTTATTTTAAAAGTTCCTTTGTTATTCAAATCTAGCTTTAATTCATAATCAAAACTATGAATATGAGTCAAATATGGCCATATTAAACACATAAAATTATCAGCATGTAAAAACCCATAGACGTATATATGGTTTAAAAACATTCAGTGACTTTGAGTCCATTTACAAGTTTCGAGTAAAATGTAAAGCAAGCAAAAAATACGAAATCATCGACACATCTCTTTCTAAAGATATGAACAAGTTTTAACTATCCTTATGTTGTGAACATGAATCAGAGGAGATCGAAATCTATCACTTTGGTCAGCATCAAGATATAGCCAAAACTGTTATACCCGTCTACCGCGAACGAAAATAGCGCTTCCTCCGCGGTTGACATGCATAGTGGCAATATTACGACCATATTTATAGAACTTTGATCAACAAATGTAAATAAATCAACTGCCAGTGATATTAAAATTTAGAAAAAAAACCGAAAAAACCCTGTTTAGCGTGTTAAGAACAGACATGCATCAGCTAAGGTTTAGCAAGCCCCCTTAAACATTGTATAGTCACTCAAATTTTCAATTAGCTGATAGAAAATATCCCAATTGAAAATACATATCTGAATTTAATTGGGTGTTAAAAGATCGATTATATGGGTTTGAAATTTGAATGACTATACATTTTTCAAAAGGTTATTGAACACAGAAAAAAGACATTGTAAATATTCAATTATAATAGTAGTTAGTGCAAACAACACAATAATTCAATTTGAAATAACGTTTACCTACCTGAAAGATAAAACTGAAAATCAGACTACTCCGTATAAGACTTCGGGAAATTAATAAGCTTATTGGTGCGGCCTACCAGTTTATATACCAGTGAGTTATGATGACGTGGTTCTGAAATCAATTATCCAATGAATGCATGACTGTTATCATATAACCCTGATTTTTGAAAATTTCCACGATCTACTTAGAATCATACACTAAGGTTTCGCTTTCGATTATTAGAATCATATCTACATACTCGATTATTGGTAGATTATGTATCCGCCTCATTAATAATAAAAAGCACGAACTACATGTACTAGGCCTCGAATAATGTTTAAGTTACGATCTAGTGTCTATTGAATAATCAAGGGTGGCCTTTGTAAAAAAAAGGACTAAATTCTTAATCGAATCATATTGACAGGCATTCAAATATTTTTTCGAAACCAGGGACACCTAAACGGCAATATGAATTAAATAAACATAAAGTTTAACATGTAACATATGCACATGTGGTGAATCCTAGATATATATTGTATAACTCATTAGATTGGAAAGCTAGTGCTTTATCGTCTAGTGTTGGTCATATATATACCAACACACGAACAGTCACAGTCGCTCAAGCACGTACGTACACTCGCATCCACACACATACATGTATATCTGTGCAGAGTTATTTGTATAATGTGTTTAGATCATTGACTACAACAACTTTAAACTGTCAAATGTGTACATGCACAATAGTTACAGTATAATATATTTGTAGACAAAGAACTTCAATTACAAGCACTTTCAATTTGCATGAGTTTACAGTACAGTTACAACAAATGTATCTAAACGAAGAACTACAGTTATGAGTACAATTGAATGCATTTTGTCATTCTTTGAGATTTGATTGATTAGAGAGCACTAGAAATCCTTAACAATTAAAATCAAATTGTCACAAATTCATAGAAAGTGAAATCAAACGAATAATTTATGAGATTATCATCATTTTATCAATTATAGGTGTATCATTGTAAGGTAACTAGGTGATTTTGACAGAAAGATATAAATAAACATATTGTTTCTCAACTTATAATTCGTTATTATATTGTGCATTACTGTTGACCAATAACTGTTTATTTCTGTCTGATATATATTTAAAATTCCCAAATTGCGTAAATGTCAGAAAGTACTTTTTTCAAAACTGTAACCTGGTTGTTTTGTTTGTTCAGGTTTTTACTTTCTCGTGACAGCTAAGACCGTATGATGATGGGCGCAGAAGCATCGCAAAAAAGGAAGAATAAGTAGGAGATATGTAGGAAAGAAAGATGGAGGTCCCAAATATCGCAATGTGGGCTACAGATCAAATGTGTTCGCACCAATATTCCTTGACATCGGGTACTACCGGAAAAGACGATTCCGCCGGGGAGCATATCTAAATTCAAGGACGTGTCTCCACATATGTTGTGAAAGCGTGCATATGTGCCGGAGACAGGGTATGTTAGCTCATTTGCCTACTTGTGATCTGATGCAGACTTGCTCACTGAAATGCGATGCCGAAGGCACTCAGCACAGCATTCCGCCCGTTAAGTGATCTAATTGTTGCACTATGAACTCCGTCATCCCATGATGTATGTGTTTGCACACAAATTCTGGTGACTCCAGGTAAAATAGTTTGCTATGTCCCAGACAAACTTCTCGGATGGAAGGACAGTATTTTCTCTCTCTTATTAAATATTCCACCACGACACATGCACGCCATCCACATTTTCTCTTAAAGCCTTTTAATATATCTCATGTTGTCGTTCTCTATTCAAATTATTGTGTAGCTGTGTTCTGCGGGACGTGACGACACAAGTGTAACGTGACCTTGAATTATCTGAACTGAGTACAAAGCGCCTGTTTACATATTCTTATCACGCCTATTTATAAAACTTCCTTTTTTGGTTCATAAACGGAAGTCACACTTAAAAGCGTTTTCAACCTGCAATAAGCGACAACAAGCGTCGCCAGACAAACTCTTTAAAATACTGCATACCATAAGCGTTAGCAGGAAATGTGTTGTTCATATGACTATAATACATATATGGATATCGTTAAACTGGTATATTCAGAAAAAGGGATATCATTAAATCGATTTTATGATATCAATAATTATTTTGTGATAACATAAAATCTAATTTATGATATCATAAAATCTATTTTATGATTTCATAAATTATTTTGTGATATCACTTATTATTTTATGATATCACAAATTCTTTTAATGATATCACAATTTCTATTTTATGATATCATTAAATCGGGCTTTTTTATGATATCATAAATTCGAATATATGATATCATTAAAAGAATTTGTGATATCATAAAATCGATTTTATATCATATATTCGAATTTATGATATCATTAATTTGATTGAATGATATCATTAAATCGCCCGATTTAATGATATCGTTAATTCGAATTTGTGATATCATAAAATATATTTTTCTAAGGACTGCTCCCTCAGAAAGCGGATGTGGAATTAAAGAACGGTCATTCTGTTTGGATTGCCATTTGCGCCAATTTGACAAAGATGGATGGGATGGTGGCCAATGCTCTGTGTTTTTTTGGTATTTTTACAGGTCATTCGTAGAAGTCAAAAAGCATTGCGCAATCTCGGTTCAATCAACCTGCGCTTGATCGTTAGTAAAATCTGTTCTGGCCAATATGTTCCTATACGTGTTCAATACGACTCATTATTTTGTAAGTAACATTAAATTCTTCTATTGCATCACAATTCAATAAACCATCTTCACTGAAGATTGATGATCTTATCGGGGCCTTTTCTCTATCAGTTTTCCTGTATTGTTAAGTGTATGGCTATAAGTTAAATTGATTAGTATCGTATGAGGCGACTGTTGATAATTTTACATTTGTACACCCTTTAAACCTTTTTATTTCTAGTTTGATATATTCAATTTTGTGATTGCCTATTTTCAAGTGTTTTTTGGCCCCAAATGACTATTGTCGATACAAAAACAAAACAAAACAAAACAAATGCCTTCTAACTCCCTATCGTTCCTAGTGCCTTCCAACGCTAGGAAGGCATTTGGTTCTGGGGCATACCAAAATTCTTAAAAATTGTCGTTGTTATTACCTGCTTAACGTTCAGCATTTAGGGTATAATGGCAACCACTGGTTCATCCAATGATAAGACGTTAAACCCTATACATCCAATAATCCAATAATATAACCGGGCGGAATGCTGTTGTGGGTCCCTTCGGCATGGTATTTCGGTAAGGTAGCACTATAAAGTCTGCATCAGTACAACAACATACGCTGTCTCCAGCAAATGAGCGTACACAACATATACATCGAGGCACGTCCTTAAATTTATCATTAATCAGTCAATGTTTTTCATTTATTAAACTGAACTGTTGATGACGCTTCTTGATCAGTAGAGTTGAAGACACATGTGTGCCACGCCGCCGATCTTAAAAATAACCTTAACTCGTCATCGTTTGATCATTTTCCGCATAACGAAGTCAAACTTGGGAAATAAGTGTATTATATTCTAACGAATCAAATATCTTCTGTTGTCTTCAAGTTTATTAAGTATTGTTGGAAATATTATTTAACGACGATTCGTATGCACCCCCCCCCCCCCCCCCCCTATATAAAAAAACTCCGTAGATTTTTCAAATATTAAATTGACATTTGGTTTATAGAGTTTGCATGATCGTAAGAGGCGACTAAATTTTGAATCTTATCTTTTCTCTTCTTTCTAAACAACTTACTTCTTCCTAATGTCTGCCTCACTTTAGTTGAGCGTTCGCCCCTGTGAGGAAGGCTTGGGTTCTGTCCCCTGGCCGAGACATACCAGAGTCTGTACAAATGGTAATTTCTACTCCTGCTAAATGACCATAGCTGTTAGATTATTATTAATATTATTACTAATGCTTAACGGCCCATCACAGGATAGGCCAACAAATGGTCGACAAAAACAAATGCAAAATAAAAACATCAAACAAACTCAAAGGTAAAAGACAAACGTCAATTCAAATATCGAAAGTGGCNTGACTCAAATTTTATGTAAAAGACCAACAGCTTTCAGATAGCCTAAAATTGAAGAGACAGTTATGTTTTCGAAAAGAAATTTAAGACATGTAATGTTACTATAGAATTTTTCTCGTGTTGACTGAAAGTCTATACAATCTAGTAACAAGTGCGTTGCTGCAAATGGTTCCTGACACGTTATGCACTGAATCTGGACTTCACTTTTTAATCAATAACAATGGGTAATGTATGAATGACCCATCCGGAGACGCGTAAGGATACCCCGTCTCGGCGCCTTTCTCTGTAACTAGGATCCCATTCATCGATTTTAGGTTTAATAGAATGTAATTTGTTATCTACGCATTGATTCCAATTATTCAATTTTTAAAATCTTCAGGTGGTAGTATTAGTGCTGCTTTCGCGGCACGATCTGTCTGTTCATTACCTGGTATCCCCACATGTCCGGGTACCCAGCAAAAGTTAATATGGCATTTTGAGGCCATAGCTTTTGATAGGACGTTAAACAATACTTAACCAAACCAAACTTCGCCTACTATGGACGCTTGTTGTCGCTTGTTTTTTGTTGAAGACGCTTTTAAGTAGGGGATTACCCATCAACTGCGCAATTCAAGTTATCCGATTGTTTGACGAAAGAACGAGAGGTCGTTTTCGCTCAATATTCAACATCAGCAGTCCCTTCAGACAAGTCTGGTAAGTGGATATTGAGTTAATAATATTGAGTAGTGATGTGAACATTTATGCAGAATTGAGAAATTGTTTCTGAGCACGTAGTACGTCTAGCATTTTCAGCATTTAAGACATCAACCAATCCTTCATACTTGTACTATTATTTTTTTACCATAACCCAGCTGGTGACTTTGAATTGGTCTGATGTCATAAGCCCCCACCTATTCCCGTGGAAGACTATAGGTTTGCACTCAGTCCGTTCGTCTTTCTGTTTTAAAGTGACAAAAAGCGTCGCCAGACAAAATCTTTAAAAATATCGAATAAAGTAAGTGACATCAGAAGATATATTGTTAGCATGACTATAATACACCTCTATACCATATTTCAAGTTGATATTTGAACAAGATGCCCAATGGGGCTGCATAGCTCACTTTGTAACAATCTCACACTTGCAACATTAAAAGGGATCTAAAACAAAGCTACAGGTAAAATATCAGTATTTTTGATTAAAAGTCATCCAACAGAACCTGTTAAAAGATTTAAAAACATTTCATCACCTCATTCCTTTGTTTATTGAAATTAGGTAATTTGAATGTTTATACATATTTGACCAAATGTGACCTTTAAAGTAGGTGAAGATCATTCAAATGAAACAGCGTGATAGCCCTTCATCGAAGCATGCTACTGGCTAAATATCAACATCCTGTGCTTCATGGTTATTCAGAAGAATTCGTTTAAATATTTTAAATAAATTTGACCACTTTGACCTTCAATATAAGTCAAGGTCATTCACTTCAACAAACTTGGTAGCCCTTTATCCCAGCATGCTACTGACCACATATCACCATGCTGGTCCTTTTGGTTAATCAGAAGAAGTTGTATAAAGGTTTTTAAGACAATTAACCCCTGTGACCTTGAATACAATAGGCCTGCATCGCTCACATGGTATTCATCACATAATTGTAACCTTAAAAGTGGACAAAAATAAAGCTACAGGCAAAATATCAGTGTCTTGACTTAAAGTCATTCAGAAGAACCTGTTAAATGATTTAAACACATTTGACAACTGTGACATTGAAAGTCAAACATGGGTATTAAGTTGAACAAACTTTATAGCCCTTCATCCCAGAATGCAACTAGCCAAACATCATCACCGTATTCCTTTTGTATATTGAGAAGATGACTTTTAGAAGATTTATGCACTATGGACCAGACGTGACCTTGAAAGGGTGTCAAGGTAATTTACATGAACAAGCAATCACCCTGGATGCTTTAGTTATTAATCAGAAGTCATTTAAAGATTTCAACATATTTGACCTCTGTGACCTTGAATATTGGCAAAGGTCATTCATATGAACAAACTTGGTAGCCCTTAATCGCCGCATGCTACTGGCAAATATCATCATCTTGGTCCTTTTGTTTATTCAGAAGAAGGTGTTTAAAGGCTTTTAAGACAATTGACCCCCGTGACATTGAATATGGGCAAACGTAATTCATTTAAACAAACTTGGTAGCACTTTATCCTTACATCCATCTGGCCAAATATCATAATTCTGGAGCTTTTGGTAATACAGAAGAAGTCATTTAAAGTCTTTTACGACATTTGACCCCTGTGACGTTGAATATAGGCAAAGGTCACTCATTTGAACACACTTGGTAGCCCTTCACCCCAACATCCTTCTAAAAACATATCATCACCCTGGAGCTTTTGGTAATTCAGAAGAAGTCATTTAAAGGTTTTTAAGACAACTGACCCCTGTGACTTTGAATATGGGCAAAGGTCATGTATTTGAACATGGTAGCCCTTCATCCCCGCATGATACATGCCAAATAACATCATCCTGCACTTTTTGGTTATTCGGAAGAAGTTGTTTAATGTTTATTTTTAAGACATTTGACCCCTGTTACCTTGAATGCGGGTTAAGGTCATTTATTTGAACTAATTTGGTAGCTCTTCATTTAAGCATGCTACTGGCCAAATATAAACACCCTCGGCCTTCTTGGTTATTCATCAAATGCTTTTAAGAAATTGACCCCTGTGAGCTTGAATATGGGCAAACGTCATTTATTTGAACAAATTTGGTAGCACTTTATCCTTACATCCTTCTGGCCTAATATCATCACCATGAACCTTCCGGTTTTACAGAAGAAGTCGTTTAAGCGTTTTAAAGACAATTAAACGTTTCAAGGTTTTTAAGACGATTGAACCCTGTGACCTTGAATATAAGCAAATGTCATTAATTTGAACAAAGTTGGTAGCCCTTCATCCCCAAATGCTACTGGCCAAATATCATAACCCTGGAGCTTTTGTTAATTCAGGAGAAGTCGTTTCAAGGTTTTTAAGAGAATTTACCCCCGTGACCTTGAATATTGAACAAAGTTGGTAGCCCTTTATCCCAAATACTACTGGACGAATATCGTAGCCCTGGAGCTTTTGGTAATTCAGAAGAACTCATTTAAAAGGTTTTTAAGACAATTGACTCCTGTGACCTTGATTGTGGACTAAGGTCATTCATTTAAACAAACTTGGTAGCCCTTTATACAATCATGCTACTGGCCAAACATAAACATACTAGGCCTCTTGGTTATTCGGACCAGGTGAGCTAAAAATGACCGAGTAAAGATGAATTGATTTTTAACGAATTCATCATAACTCAGTCAATATTTCAAATATCAAATTGAAATTTGGTATAGAGGTGTACTACAGTGATATTAACAACATTTAGTACCATTTTTCTATTGAAATATCGGATTCTATCAACTTGATAAAACTGATATCTTTCTTACTGTGACAAATATCAAAAGTGATGTGAAAATATCACTGTTTGGTATTGACCAATCATAACGGTATCTTCTAATCGCTGCATTCAAAGGCAACAATGTTTGGTCCGGTAGGATAAGTGGTTGTTATGGTAATTTTTTGGTACACACACATACCTATTTACATAGATATACAATTCATGACATTTTTATTGGCAATCTTACAAAATATAACAAAAAACGTCGGAATCGGAGTATCCCATTCAAAATGGCACGCAGCCTTGTTATCAAGCGTGAAGTCATTAGAATATGGCGCTAATTATTACGCTTCTGATTCCCAACCTTTTTTTATACATATTTTTTTTTATGTTTTATGCTTTAAAATGTAATAAATACATTTACACACTCTCGTGAAAACTATCAAAATATTAGCCACACCCCTGAAATAGATTTGTTATTACTGATTTGTTTGGTTTGGTTTATTATTGTTTAACGTCCTATCAACAGTATGGTCATTTAATGACGGCCTCCCCTGTGTGCAAGATGCATGCATGTAGTGTATGCGTGTGTGTTTTGGAAGGCTGCGATATGTTCGTGTTTGTCTCCTTGTGATAGCACGGAACTGATGGCGACTTTATAGTGCTACTTCACTGAAACATGCTGTCAAAGACACCCAGTAGGGCACCCCACCCGGTCACATTATACTGACAACGGGCGAACCAGTCGTCCCACTCCAAAATTGCTGAGCGTTAAGAAGGAGTAGAATCTACCACTTTTACAGACTCTGGTATGTCTCGGCAAGGGACAGAACCCAAAGCCTTCCTCACAGGGGCGAACTCTCAACTAAAGGCCAAAAGTGAGGCATTGTCAATGAGACATTAGGAAGAAGAAAGTTGTTTAGAAAGAAGAAAAAGATAAGATCCCAAATTTAGTCGCCTCTTACGATCATGCAATGGGGGCAGCAGGTACAATTCTTACGCCCTACCTGCAGGGACTTTGTTATTACTGAAAATACCATTAAATATCCTCTTTATCTTCTGGTCGGTAATTTCAAAGATTTTTTCTGACGACGCTTGTTGTCACTTTAAGACGCTTGTTGTCGGTTGAAGACGCCTTTAAGGGTGACCGGTACAATGATGGAGGGGTGCAGAGTGCAAGAGGAATGTCACTATGACCTCACTGTGACCTATACGTTGACCTTTGACCTATAATTTTGTCGTGGTATATATTCTGTACTATATCACCTGGAGCGACCAGATTTGGTATACAAGGACATTTTGTGATGACAGATCGCAGAGTGCAAGAGTTAGCTAGGTAACTAATCAGTGTATATCTTCTATACTATATCACCTGGAGCGAGAATTAGCTAGGTAACTAATCAGTGTATATCAGGATAATTTCCTTAGAGTAGGTGCATCCAGACATAAATGTGCTGTTTGTTAAATATAGAAATCATTACCGGTGGGGAATTATGGATTGCCTTGTTATATATATTACTGAAAGATTTAATGATGAAAATGACTTGTCAATGAAGGTTCCCAGTAGATGGGATAGAAATGTTAAGATGTGAGTTGTGATCAAATGTGTAACAACTTTGTGATTTAAAGAGTAATTTGCGCTTACCAGAATTACTCAAATAAGATATTTTTTTTTAACTTTTTTTTGTCTGCGTAGTATTATATACTGTATAAAAGTGAGAACATGTATCGCTCTAGAGATGGTATGCTTGCAACACGATGATGAACATTTTCAACATGATGACATGTTGATTCAAACCCAAAAGAATAATCATGAATGTCGACACTAAAATGTGTTACAGCTGTGACGATGATTTCAGTGCCTCTGCTGAGGATTAACCAAGACGCTCTGACTTGCTTGTCTGACCGGATGAGCTAGAGAAAAGTCGTTAGGAAGCAGCAAATTTTTAACACGTAAATTGCATGTTAATGAAAAAGAAACATAAATCATTGTTCCTCCTCGTTCCCTTATCCACACTTTCAATTAGTGGTTTTGTTTTGTTACGTTTAACGTCTTATTCACATGAAATTTGAAAACAGTTCGCTCGGGTTCTCTGCGAGAAATAGCGCTAACAAACTTTAACCGAATACAAGACGATTGCCTTATCTTCGTGATCACTGCCAAAATTCAATATGCATAACTAGGGTTAGTTTGGTTTGGTTTTGTTTAACGTCCTATCAACGCCCAAGGTCTTATACAGACGTGAGTGCTCCATGTTTATTGTGTATGCATGCATTTGTGTATGTATGCCGGAGGCAGGTTGTGTTTGTGTATTTGCCTCCTGGTGATAGCACGGATCTGATGCTGACTTTATATTGCTATCTCACAGAAATACTATACCAGAGGAACCCAGCACAGCATTCCGCCCGGTCACATTATACTGACAACGGGACAACCAGTGTTGGCCATTAACTCAAATGCTGAATTTTAAGAACTTTGGTATGGCCTGGCCTGGGGACAGAACCCATTGCCTTCCTTACCTTGGCAAACCTTCAACATTAAAGGCAATCGTTTTGCCAAGCAAGACGTTAGGAAATAAAAGATTGTTAGAAGTATAAAGAAATGGAAGATCCTGAATAGTTTAAATGATGCAGCAGATTTACTACGAAGAAGATGGCACAAACCAAATCCCCAATTTTGCAAGGAATCCCACATCAGTCGCCTCTACAACACATGCTGTTGGTAACAGCAGGTGTATTCTTTCCTCAATCCGCGACCTGCAGGGGCGACTACTGCTGGGTTTTATTATAATACAGTTATGTGACCGCACAACTTATAACGTGCACACACCGTCCGCACATCGTCCACACATGGTGCGATTTAAGAATCATACGTCCTGTTGAACGCTTCTCTCTGCACAAAAGTGCGATTAAGTACAACTGGTCAATCAATATTACGGAATCCGGAAGCCTCCTATGGAATAAGGAAAACTCTAAATACAGATTTCTCGTAATAATAATTAAGATAATGTTCAATTTTACAATGCGTTTAACACAATATTACAGTGACTGTTGGACTGTCAAGAATGGGTTTGGCTCCCAGGTAACAGAACAGTTAAATAACATTTTGAGTGACCGCAGTTTTACAATCTCTATAATAAGATATGATATATTTTATAAACAATTCGTTTGATATTGATATATGTTGACATCTTTACACATTTTAACCTTTTGTTTCTTGATTCACGTATTCAGTTTTTTGTGAATGTCTATTTTTACACTGTTGTTTGACCCTAAATGACTCAAATTGTCGATGGACCGTAAAACAATTCAATACAATACCTGGCACCATGTGCCTGACATAGAAAGTCGATGTATGATACCGTATTACTGCTATGAAAACACAAATGGACGTTAAGTGTGTGCTATTTGTATCCGTTTTGGTCTATAGCTCCCCTTCACCTGGATTTTCACACCTTGACGAGTTACGTAAGTGACCCATTTGGTGAAAACTACGGTTCACGTACATGTACAAAGTGGCCATGTTTACCTGTATAGGGGATCATGTCCATGGGTGTTATAATTTTGCATGTGTCGATTTTGGTCGTTTAAAAAAACACCGAAACACCATTTCTAAATTTGAGAAAGATCAGCTAATATATGTAGCTAGAATATAGAAACATTCTTAAAAAATCAAGATTTTATGTTTAAACACGAAACCGTATAAATTATAAAGCCATTTCTCAATTTATACCAACCACGATTGTCATTGCATAACGTTCGTCCATCGTCCGCACAATTGTTCGCAAGCAATACTAGTCCAGATTTATTTCGTTCGCACATCGTGCACACAGCATGCAATGTTACATGTGCTATTCCACAACTGTAGTACAATTTATAACAGTTTTGAGCAATGAATTACATTTTGAATTTGAAAAGCACACACAAACTTGAAAAGATTGGAAATACATTTATCATCTGGCAAAATCGTTTCAAGATGACAGATGATGTTTATGCATCATCGCTGTATTCAAAGTATGTGCACTACAAGCATTTTGAACTAACAATCAAATAAATTTTGGTATTTTATGTGGGATTATAATTACAATCTGCATTTATTTATTGATCAGCAGGCTTATTGAATTTGTTTCTTTTTTACTCTTGTATACAAATTAATGTTAATTATGTCCTTTTGCGTCGCATATTACAGTTGTGAACAGACCAACAAAAAGGCATGGCTACACAAGTTCCCCAGATCCCGACCTGTAATAAACATCATGAAGAAGCTGTTGCCTTGTTTTGCGTTTCCTGTGACGAGAATATGTGTACGACATGCGTGATAGAAAACACCCATAGCCAACACAAGCTGTGCAAACCTCACCAAATTCTTGAGATGAAGAGAAAAGAGTTCAAAGATCTGATTGAAACAGAAGGTATGGACAAAATACGTGAAAAGATCAGTCTACAAGTTAAATTGATACAGAAACACAATACTAATGTGAGTGTTCACCAGAGCCAAACTTCTACTGCAATTGAAAATCGGTCTGCAAAATTAATGCAAATCATCGAAAAGGAAAAGAAATCTCTACTCATGCATTCAAAACGTTTGCATGACCAGCAATTAAACTTTCTCAGCAACCAGGAATCGGTGGCAAAAAGATGTTTGGCATTCTTAGAAAAGCATGGAAGTGATCCAGAATCGTTCTTAAATACACATCAAGATGAAATGCAGCAAGTCGTGAGAGATTTGAAACTGGTACAGACATACATAGCACCAACAGACATTAAAGCTGTTGTTTCTTTTGATACCAGTCACGAGGTCACTGAAGTAGATATCAAAAAGATTGTTGGCACCATAAGGGAACAGATGGCATCAGACGAAAAGAAGGAGCATGCTCACAAGCACATGGAACTTGTCAATACTTATAGGCTCATTTTAAAGGAATATACCCGGATCCGTAAAACAATATCGAAGATATCGCCAATTGATATGCAAACAGCATTTGTGTTGGTAGGAGACAGCTATCTGTTTCGAGTTCAGTTTAGTGAAGAACATGAAATTTTACCGATAAAACATGTTGCAACAAACGTTAAGGATATAACTAAGGTTGGTGATAAAGGTATCTATCTGTGCACAGGAACACAAGTAAAGCTCTATACCATGAAAGATGACATGTATGTCTTAGATGATGTCTCACCAGATACAGTCAGGAGTGTAACTCTGACCGAAGAAGGGCAGGTATTAGTTTGCTGCGTTGGACAAAGACTGACCTTTGACCCGACGCGTGAAGTAAAATACAGCAAACTGCATGTTCTTGATCAAACAGGAATCAAAATTAGTACCGGGACTCCATTCGATACAAATGCCGGCGATACTTACAGGGTTGGGAAATGTTGTGGAGAATTATATTACTTAAGAAAAAGTCAAAAAGCTGGTGCAGTACAAAAGACCATCGGTTTTAGTGCTTTTGTAAATATATATACGGGAAATCTTGGAAGTAGCCCTGAGAAATCTTTTGATCCAAGAGGAATTTGTTGTGATGACAAAGACCAGATCATAATTGCAGACTACAATAACTGCGCAATCCACCTACTTGGAAAAGGTTTTAGGTTTATGAAGTTCCTGCTCAGGGAATGGGATGGACTGAACAAACCAACAGCAATCACTCTATACAATGGATTCTTGTGGATTGGACAAGAGGATGGAAATATTCAACTTCGAAAGTATGAGTCATAAACTAGTGAACAAAGGAATTAACCAAAGGGACTCGGGTAAACACCATTTCTTCGTAAAGTTGTAACGAAAACATTACAGCACTCCATTGCAATACAATAACAGATTGTTACTGTTACAATGTCACGAATGTAATAATTCAACTTGTTACCACAGTGTTACAATTTCATGTATAAAGGAGGCCTTAGTGGCCTGTTCTTTTCACTTGAATATTTCCGCAATCATGGCAAAATAGTGTCATCAAAAATTAAATTGCCCCATTTTGGACTCCAACCATCAGTGTCGAGGACTATATTGTTTATGTATACTGTGATATAATCCAACGGAAGCTTCAACGTAAATTGTTTAAAAATTGATCAACTGTTCAGGAGTAGTAATCTATTAAAGATTTCAGCACCTAAAATACCCCCTTTTAGGTTCCTATCTCAAAGGAAATATATATTCCTTAAATCCCTGAGGTTCTGCAATATTCGCCTTGATATTTAAGCAGTCTAGGTAAAATATCATCATTAAACAAAGTATTGGAAAACCTGATTTATCTCTCTGTATAAATTATAGGTAACTGGACTATCGCCTATACGTGATTGTAGCAGGATAATCTACTGTAACCAAACTAAATCTGACTGGACGATCTGTTTAGAAAACAATGCTGAGTTGGTCATTGATTATTAAAAGTAAGCTGACTATAATGATATATGTCTTTAGCAAACAAAGTTGACCGAGTTATTACCTATAATGTAAGGAAGCCGGTTAATTCGATTGTAAATCAATTAATTTTGATGGATACAGAGTACTAAATTTCATGACTTTCTTTCACCAGACTTATTTACAATGTTTTGAATGCATTATCCAGTCACCTTGTGCATTATATTATTTATAATATATTGGACAGTTATTTTGTGCTCAGTACTTTTCTTCCAAATTGCTTTGAGAACGTTGACATTTTTCCTCGTACAAGTTTATCTTTTTATTTCATGGGACTCTGTATCAGCAGGTAATATTCCATGAAAGTTATTTTTGCCCAATATAATCGTGTAAAGCACTATTACTTTTACTAATATTGTCAAACTAAAAACAAAAAACTGGAAATTTTAGGTTCTGAACGAAAAAGACTTGAATATTATGATAATCGAATGTTAACGTTTTAGTAATATTTTCGAATTTCTAAAGACAGCCTTGTTACGTAAAATCTTGAACACGACTCGCGGAGATGATCCCCTGGTACAAGTTCATAGTTTTAAGACTATTTACTATATATTTTTTTTTCTTTTTTTCTTTCTACAAAGTTTTAATCTAACTAGTAAGCAATGGGTTAAGCTAGAGAAGTTGTAAGTGAGTTGTAATTTAATTTATTGTTGAGATTGTGAACAAACTACTTAACCAGATTTTTTTCACAAATCGTACATCATGTTTCTGAGCTCGCCAGGTTATCGTGAACCCCCCCTCCCCCCTCCCCCCCCCAAAAAAAACCCCCAACAACATCACCGTTGTGTCAATAAGTCCATTGTGAAAATAGTTAATCATTTACAATTACTTATTTTAGATTTAAAGGTGATATCTTTGTAAGTGTTTACTAATGGCATGGGTAAACTCCTGAAGTGCAGATCATACAGCGCCCTGATAGAAATATGAGAGTTGTCAAGATCAGTTTAATATTTTGTTAACTTAATCAACTAATAAATAAACTTTACCAGTTCAAGATGAAATGTTATTTCTAAAAAATATTATTGATTAATAATTTAATATTAATAGTCCATTTGTTACAGTAAGCTTAATGTATATAGTGCTTGTTTAGAATGTAGATAATACAAAATAGTAAAATGAAGAAAGAAATGTAATTTCATTCTTCAATTGTAAAAGTAAGCTTGTAGTACTAACTCCACAACAAATCTGGCTGACAATCTATTTCTATTGAAATTGTACTTAAATGTAATAATTAAAATCAGATTATACAAACTGTGAAATGATACATCATCATTTTTGCCATTGAAGCCAAGTTTGAATGCATTTTAAAAACAAACTTTGTACTTAAATGAATCATTCCTTGTGATAATAATAGTGTACCACCATACTATTTTCAAATATATCCCAAAATAGTTGAGCCTCATAGACTAAGCGATAACCGTAAACTAATTATGTCTTTATCCAGTGTTTAAGGGACCAGATTGGACCTTCTCGACTAAGGTTTGAAATGCATATTTTTGACATTTATGTTGGTTGATTGATTGTATAGGATTTAACGTCCTATCAACAGCTAAGGTCATTTAAGGACGTGCCAACATGCGTGCTGTGTGCCAGAGACATGGTATGTTGATGTAATTGCCTCCTTGAGATAGCGCGGATCTGATGCCGACTTTATAGTGCTATCTCACTGAAATACCATGCCCCTACTGTCTATTCCCTTGTTAGATACCTCCCCTCTGGGATCGCCGGTCCCCTCCCTGTTGGGAGCATCAGTCTCCTACCATTGGACCTCTTCAGCCCCTCGCAGGACTAATTCGAGGAGTCCGGGTCTTTCACCTCCGGAGGGGCTGTCTCCTTTTCCCCTCCAAACTCTTAAACTCCGCCGAAGAGGAGTAGTCACGAACTAGCAAATCTTATCCTATGAAGGAAAGCAAGTCTTCCCTTATCTGAATATAATGAATATAGTAACCGGTCTAATAGACCCACTCAATGGAACCTGTCTACCCCCATTGTACCCTTATTTCTTATTTACTATAATTGTTAGCATTCAAGGTGACTGCTAAAAGAATGCTTTATAACGGTTCAAGTATTTTTAATGTAACTGTAATGGGAATATTCATGATGATCTTGTCAAAATATATAGTTGATTCCCAATTCAAATATAACAAAATGGCAGATGTTGAAAGAAAAACTAAGGTAAAATAAGAAGGCTTTATTAGTTTTGGATAAAGTGATAGCATTCTGGGGTCTATATATGTTTTTTTTAAATCTTCAATTCACTTTAGTGCATTTTCATACAACAAGTTCAAATTGTGTCGTACACAAAATTATTTTACAGTATGCACAATTATACACATGCAGCTATGAGCCGTGATTTTGCAATACATAAATCTGTACCTTATTTAACATTAACTGTTTACCCACATGGATGCAATGCATGCACTCACGCCGAGACCCTTACATGCGAAAAGTATGAATGTGTAAGCAGATGGGCTTTCAAAACACTGAAACATGGATATGTGCATATATATATATGATATCATGTTTTCAATGATTTTTTTCTGATTTATCAACAATTTCTTGCCTATATACTATCAAAAACTAAGGATGACAAATCCTATATACCACGAATTTGCTTCGTTATGATTTTCCATTTTTATCGATTTCATGCTCAAACTGTGCTTACTAGATGAAATTTGGCAAAATGCAGGAAAACATCCTAAAAGGTAGTAAACCAAAACCTTGAAACACATCTTCATTTATGTCTAATATTATCTGGTAATAATAATTTCCACTTACCCTCTTAAACATCGTTCATACTACATGAATCGATTTCCATATTTCATAATGAAACAATAAGAATATGAACAATTCAAAAAATGTTAGTGAACAACTTAATGTCTGCATTAATTAAACACAATAAAATATGGGGAAAACATCGGGCTTTTGTACTATCATTTCAATACATAATTTCCAATATACTACATGTACTGTTGCCCCAATTCTATTAATAAAGGAACAACTAAAAAACTTCTTGCATATATGTGTTCAACAACCAAAACACTACCCACTGTTAAACGTAGTTTGTACAGGTTATAAATCTGCCATCTTGTCAAAACAAAGGTGGGGTCAACATTCGGTCCCCACTTCAATTTCATTTAATTTTTCGCCATATGTAGATACATAAAAATGAACAATAACTGCAAATATGATTATTCATGATTACCACTGATAACCGAAGTGGACCTCTTCGCATAACACCAGGTTGAGTGACGGGGGTAACCTAACAAAATGAGAGATACATGTCACAGGCGAATGTGATTTTGAAAATGAACTATGATAGTGTATAGTGTATATAATTACTGTTGTTTTGATACTAAATATGCCATTTTGATATACTTAGAGCAAGCGTAGTGATACTTTTAATTAAAATAAACATGCAAGATTTTCACGAAAATTTAAAAAGTATCAAACATTGTCAACTTGCTTATGTATAGTTTAAATGGCAGCCTATATTTTACACTTCTTCCAAAACTTTCCATATATTAATTATGTCTACATAATCATTTTTATGTAATATCGAAAACGGTAAAGTACTTTTTTTAGTATGCCAAACATGACCAATGTACAATTCAAACAATCATGAAGATTTGATTATCGATGTTAATTATGGTAAATACCGATACGTATTTTTTTGTTTTTGTATCATACCCTAACAATTTTTATATCACGCATATTTTAAATCTATGTGCAGCAGTATTAACTCATACATATGTATTCTTTCTTCTAATGAACTACTTAAGATTGAGATTGTGTTATAGATAAAGATATGCAGATATATAAAAACAATGAAATAAGCTTAATGATAAAACTAATATACACTTGATTATTGTTTTATTTTGTCTTTTGCCCATTCATTGAACCTATCACAGCCTCCCAAAACACATGCATAACCTACACGCATGCATCTTGCACACAGGGGAGGCCGTCCTTGATGACCATAGCTGTTGATAAGGCGTTAAGCAATACTAAACCAAACCAAACCAATTTTGCCCATTTATTGAACAAAATGAAGAAATATTACATTGTTTTATATCAAGGGAATATATCCATGTCGGACTCCACATACAAAAACTTATTTAGCACATTTAATTCTTGTGACCTAGAACGAAGTTCAGATTAACTAACGTTTACAAAACTTATATCATTTAAATGAACATCAAAGTCCCGTCCCATCAAGCATCAAACACTGAAATTAATTTCACATGGTGACAGGGGCATTCATGTCTTACAGACATTGTCTTGTTTTCTCTAACACTTCACAGGTACATTCCTGTTTTTGGTAGGGAAAAGATAAACCTGATTTTGACCTAGATCATTTGGTTTGGTTTTATTTTGTTTAACGCCCTATTAACAGTTAAGGTCATTAAAGGACGTGCCTCCATGTGTGCCGTGTAAGCGTGCAAGTGTGTATGTGTGCTGAAGACAGGGTATGTTGTTGTACTTGCCTTCTTGCGATAGCGCGGATCTGATGCCGACGTTGTAGTGCTATCTCACTGAAATATCATGCCAAAGGCACCCGACAGAGCATTTCACCCGGTCACACCACACTGACAACGGGTGAACCAGTTGTTGGCATTACATCAAAGCAAAACGTCAAGCAGGGAATAGCAACTACCATTTTAAGGACTTCGGTATGTCCCGGCTTGGTGACAGAACCCATCGCCTTCCTCTCCACGGCAAACAGCTGGCCCGCACTATTTCGTCACAGACAACGCACTTCTTTCAACATGACCTGTGACCGTGTGTGATCTTTTAGGAAAAACGATTACATCTTTACTTTCTACACACATAGCGCATACTTGTAAACAAAATCGTGGATGATAGCAAGCTCAACATTCTGACAGATCAAGATAGGTGAAAATGTTACCTGAGGGGAAAATGGTAAAAAGGGAAGAATTGTAGATGAATTTAACCATTAGGAACGTATGCTTTGTACGTAATGCAATCATTTGGTGACGATACTATCGTTACAGCAGCGAAGCATATATTGGTCAAAGGGCTAGCAGACGACTAACTTGAGTTTGATATTCTTGATTTTGATGTGAGCAAATATCTCAATGAAATATACAGTATCATGCAGATTCATAGACGATGTTATATGAGTTAGGGCAGGGACACATACAACCACGGCAGCTCCGGGCCATCCTCAGTCTAGACAGACGGCGACTGTCACAGCCCCATGCGTTGTCGGTAGATCCGTTAAAATGGACGACAATGACAAGAAACTGTGTAGACAAAAACGAGAATATCAACACGAAAAGAAAACTTTGTCATATACAACTGATTTCTGAACGACAAAAACGAATCACGCCAAATACACCAAACCCCAACTGCCGAACTCGATTCGCAATTGTCCAAATTTTCAATTTGTGTACGACAGAAATATGGTAGCGAGTATCAACCCAGTTACTTGAGAGGGATGCTTGGCTCAGTTGAAAGGCATTTACAACGTCATAGGTATGGGTATAGCTGTATCTCCAGTCATAAATGCGCGGGTACGAGAGGCGCTCAAACCTAAACATAACGTTTAAAAAAAGGAATATGGAATAAATCCATAGCAGCGGATGTTAACACTGATTCTGAAATAAACTCATTGTATGAGAGGTAACAGCTAGGTAAAGACACACCAGAATCTCTGTTGAACACCGTAAGGTTTAACAACATGCTTAATTTCGTGATGAGCAGACAGTCATG